AGTGAATTTAATATACACCAATGTCACGAGTGGACCGCTGCATTTCCTTCAGCAACATGTACAGCATCCTCTCCGTCTCAAAATCCGCCCACAAGCTGGGAGCGAGGCTCCCGAAAGCGAAGTCGCTCCTACGCTGAGGCGCGACAAAGCGGCTACTGAAAGCGAAGCCGTCTTCAGAGAGACTATGACCCTCGGGCAGCGTTTTGGCCGATGCTGAGAAGGAACACACATTCGCTCGCTCCTGTTTCCTAACAGCGCCACATGGAGCCGGGAGCCCAGACGGACAGCTCGTCTCCGGCTCGAAAAGGGCTCCCAAGTGCACTCCTTATCATTAGGGCGATACCGTCTTTTACGCTAGGATGGTGAGTGTGATTTATGAGCCCTTTCTTGATGAAGCACTGTATGCTTCCCCCATAACATTCTGCAATCTCTCGAAGGAAACACGACACAGGACACAAATACAATGTCCAGAATGACCAACCTGCCCAGCCTGCTGGGAGGGGTGCCATGGGGGGCGGGGGGCTTTAGCTCCCCCCCCCCAACTTTTCCCACTCATGAGATACTTTGATTCCAATAAGCTCCAGCACGTAGGACCCCATTCTTCCACAAAGGGCTATTCAACAAGAATAATGATAATCATCGTCGCCATTGTATTAAAATTAGTAACAGTGTCGCCTCAACACGACACCAAGTACACTTTTTCATGCAGGCTTCAGATGGGCACCCTTGACGAGGACCCTCCCGATTCATGCTGCGTCTCTCTTTTAGAAATGCGTCTTTCAGGATTGAAGCTGGGTAGACGCCAAGCCGATGACATGGGACTAGGGCTGGTCGAAACCAAAGAACAGTCGGCTCCTGTCGATTGTGAAATTTTGCACCGGAAAACACGCCGGCACGACTAGCAGCAATGGTTGACATACAGCCCAATTAGACATCTCAGTTTCGCCAACTAGCACCAACGCCGATTTCGCATGCTCAACCGGCCAACACGGCGCCAACGAGGACCAACCGTGTCCGACAATGCCGCACTCTCACTGACAAGCCGACGGCCTCCTACGGCCGGAAATCTACTCTCTGTGGTCCAGCTGAAAATACGAAATGTGGGGCTCGTCTGAATGCGTCTTTCCAGCTGTGCATGGCACTATAGTGCAACGGTGCATGCGCCATGCTGACAGGACAAACCCGTTATTTCCACGTCAAGTGGATCTGACTCATCTGCGCAAGCGAATGATTGACCTTCACAACCACAGATTTGATCATTTCATGGGAAGCTTCTTCCTGGTCCTCACCTCTGTCGCCCATCTGACTCACTTGGCTATAACGTAAAGTGTGCCAGCAAATCCTATTTCCTGTGCCTACTGAGCGCGCTCAGCAGCCAGGGCCACCGTAGCGCTGCGAGCTGCACGTTTCCCACGCCCTCCTTGCCCGTGGGGCCCCGGCTCATCGGCGTCCTTCATCTGTTCTGCTTCACCGCGGGCCGCCGTCCGCCGCCTCGCTTGCTCCCATCCTAATCCCCTCACCACGCCACACTGACCACCGACCCACCCACCCGCTGTCTCATGCCATCCCCCCCCTCAGAAACCAACCAGTTAGCAACCGGTCCACCGGAGCTGCCGGTCACGCGTGCCAGGATGCTCAGACCAGGAGCACCCCCAGCTTCACGTGCAGTCCGGCAAACATTCGCTACATGCGCGCCAATGAACAGTCTGCAGACAGCAAACTCCGCGCACATGTTTTTATACAGCTACAGATGGAGATTAAGAAGGACGTTAATTCACGATGACATGAAACAGTGCAGGGCTGAAACCAGCCTCTCTTCTGAAGGTGTAGGGTTAAGTTATTGAGGGGAGAAAAAAAAAATCTCCCTCTAGGCAGGATTCCAGGTGAAAATAAAAGGGAATCGAAATATTCTCAGAAATGCAATGACGGGGAGAAAGATAAGAGGACCCAAGGTGCGAAGAGCAGGCAGCACAAACACTCAGATCAACAAAACAAAGCCCAGATTGGAATTCTTGGACCACAGAACTGTCCTTTGTGGAGCAGACCACCTTTTCCTCAGACTTTAATCATCAAAAGACCACTGTGACAATATTTATATTAGTTTTATTCAGCAGACACTTTTGTCCAAAGTAACATGCCATGTGTGGTAAATAGCGCATTGCAAACACCTTCCTTCCACCACAAAGTTATGTCATCAGCGGTTTAATCTTGTATTGTTCGGGCTTATCTGTCTTTCTGGTTGCTGATACAGATCTTCCCTAAATCGGTTTCGCCAGCCTGATTCTGGCGTGTGTGAATTTAACCCAGGGTTTGCTTCTCCGCTGGAGGTGGCATGAAATCACCACCCCCCACACCCACCACCACAGCTGTTTCTCACCACCCGCTCCCATTTCATAATAGGCCATTTTCTATTTAAATTACCACTGTACATCCGGAAAGTCGTAAGCTGAGCCATTTTCGGGCTAAACTGTCACATACAATGTTTCCAAACGCAGGCCATGCTGAAGTCAAACAGACGTGTATTAGTATTTCTTAACTGTACAGCCAAACAGGGAACCAAACAGGGGGGAAAAAGTCTTTACCGTTGGACCAATTGTTTGGTCTTTTGTGTGAGCAGAACAAAAAACAAAAAGAAAATGACCTTGACTCAGTTCAAGGTCAAGTACAGGAGATGAGATACTCATTGCTTGGAAGTGATTGTACCAAGGTTATAATACTAACTAATACTAGCAGTTCCAGAATTTTCTGGTGTTGCGTCAGTGTCTTATTACCTTAAAACAGATCTGCATGTTTGACTGGTATTGGATAGGTAACACGGGGAATTTTAAAACAGTTGCTCCTGAACAGGCAGAATAGGTTCAAACCAAGAATGGCCACACTTAGGAGGGGCCACGCCAACCGTGACCGGAATCTGCATGTGGCATTCGCTTTAATTACGTTGCGTCTGAAGTGGGACGTCCCCCACCAACACGACACCACACCATCTCTCACAACACCAGAAAGTCAAGAGCAAAAATAGTTTGTGACAGTTACAGTTCAGCCATATGAAAGAAAGAAAATCTTGCACTGAGGCTCAATCCAGGAAAAGAGCAGAGCCAACCACTTGGGAGACAGATTCTTTTGGGGAGGGGGGGGGGGTGCAGTGAAGCTGTATCTGATGCCGATATGTGGGCGGCATGGTGACTCAACACTGCAGCTCCATCGTAGCTGGACACAGAAAAAGCTACTTTAAGTCTTTAAGACCTCCAATGGCCCCTTGGGACCAAATCAGACCAAGCAGAACATGCTCTATACTGCACTGCTACTAACCATGGTTACATTTTTACTATTACAATTGAACTGCTTCAAAATAAAACACAAAACTGCAAGGATCTTAAGAGCCTCCCACCACCACCAAAAATGTCCAGGCATCCTGAGGTCGCATTGATGTAACTTTTGCCTCAGCAGAAGAAACATCATAATGTTGGGCTAACACAATGCCAACGCAAGCCTTCATAAAAGAGCAAGTAAAGAAATTAAAGAAAAGAAATTACTCCACCTTCTCTGCAAATATTACCTCAGATGTAACACATGTAATATTCTGATTGATACAATTCTCACAAAATATAAGCGTTGCCATGACCGAAGGCTAAATTTACCAAAGTGCTTTCCCACTCCACACCTACTGTATGTCAGGATGTCAGGACACAAGCACCTGGAAGGCTCTCATCCCCTCACTGGCTGCCCTGGAAATCAGACCACTGACTCACTGACAAATCCTGTGGGGAAAGAGGTCTGGGCCTTGCGAGAAAATATCAGCAGCCAGCAGAAGGTGGGGGTGGCTCCGCAGGTAACAGTGTTGCCTTGCACCTCCAGCGTTGGCGATTCAAGATTCCCAAGGACATGCATATGTGCCCTACAATTAAGGGGGATTTAATGTATGGGCTTCCTCACTAAAAAAAAAAAGCTCCTAAAAAACCCCTCGGTCAACCTGAACATCACCCCTGGCACCCCCTATGCCCTCTGAATGTGCCTCTGCCTGTGATGAAACAGCATCCCATCCATGCAGTGGGTACCCAATGCTGCTTGCCATACGCTCCAGCCCCCCATCACCCAAATCAAGATAAGTGGATGGAATTAATTGAGGAGAACTCAGAATCTACTTTAAGTAGGCTAATCCTTTCCTAAATCGATACAATTAAATGCCCCCAGGTAAAATGAGAACACCCATTTCATAGACTGGGGTCACAGAAACAGCAGCGTTTGCTTCGGCACAGTTAACGAAGCGCATCCATAAGGAAACTGATTTCTTGAAAGTGCCCTTAACATATGCGGTGCAATTACGAAAACTATAAAAATTACTTCGATATCTGCCCTATGCCATATATTAGGAGCACGATAACTGAATATGGGTAACATACCACGAACTAGGCATAAAAAGGAAATCGTTATTCCCGCAATTAAGGTGGACTTCATTGGTGGGGTTTTTAGTTATTAAATTAAAAATGTTGCACGTCATATTCTTTAATCCTGTCCAACAGCAATACAATCATTTCAAGAACTGAGTGGTTTTTATTCGAAGTAAAAAATGAACGAATGACTGAATGAATGAATTTATGAATCAATGAATGAGTATTTGTGCACTATTTTGAAGCTAAGTTAGCGATCGAGAAAGTTGATTTGAAACATCCTACATAAGATCTGTTAGAAGCAATGCAGAATCCCTGTACTGTGTACATGTACAGTATTACACATCCCCTTAATGCCAGACAGGTTCCCGCACCAAAGCCAATATAGAGGATCAAACCAGCAGTCCAAATACGTGAATCCACGACACAAGCACAAGAGCACGCACGACTACATCTTACTCTGAACAGTGTATTATGATGATGGTTAGATTAGCGAAGACAAATGGGGGCTGGCTTGAGATCTAAATGGGGCATCAGAGAAAAAGCGAAGACAGGGTTCGATCCCAATATCAGACAGACGACCACCTCCGACTGAGCGACATATCGACTCACCTGGCTGTAGTGCACCCTGAACGGTTTCAAGATATCTGAGCTGGTGCACGGAACTACCTGGATGTTATTAATCTGCTCCATGGCGCCCAGAGATCCCTTCAGCACTTGGTGTGTGTCACCACAAACTGCACATCTACAAGGGAGAACACTGAAAGATGCCTACGGGATCCTATAAAGGACAGAATACTGCAGTACCGCCGCTCTTTAGTTTATACGATCGAAAAAAGAGAAAAGGCTTAAATCAGTCATTACTAAATGTAATGAAAATTATTGTCGCATTTCAATCCGCCCATTCTATGCAGGTTTTTTAGGCTGATTATGTTGTTATATATTTTATAACGTAATCCGTTGTTCGCGAATACGTTAGTTGGTTACAATTTCTTACATTTGAATGAGAGAGGAAAACAAATTTCGGAAAGTGGGGTAAATGCAACGCGACTTGTCCTGAAAAGGGGGTCATGGTATGTTTTGGGTGGAGCTGGAGGCGTAACGCCCTCCGGCATAAGCCTATGGCAGGTGCATGTACGAGATGTTAGCAGCGAGGAGCCAAGACAGGAATGGGAGATGGAGTTAGCAACAGAACGATTAAGTTTATGGGGTGTTAAAGGATGTAGGACTCAATAAGTATATTTTGCACCGAAAATTAAAAACAAAGACGCACGCTAGTGTTTAATTGCATAATTAGGATAATTATTCCATCCTACGTCATTACTCCAAACGTATGACGTAATGTATGGGACTTCGAAAGCAATAAAAGTTTTGTGGTATACCCAGAACTTTCCGATATTTTTAATCACTGACTCTTAACCCTGGTAAGGCATATACATTGCATGATATACAGAATTTTTGAGCATCCTAGGGAAACATGCTAGAACCTGTAGTCTAGATCGCCCACATTTCAACCTGCCACATTCATTATTAGCCTACTAAGGACAATCTGAGTCTGGTTAAGGTGGGGTTAGAATGAAATAATTCTGGTAGGGGGTCCTCTAGGAACAGGACTGAGAACCATTGGTCTAGATCAGGGTTGTCAAACTCCAGTCCCGGAGGGCTGGAGCCCTGTGTAGCTTAGCTTGTTCCCAGTTCCACCACAAATCAGGTGTGTTAAATGAAAGGAAACCCAAAAATGTGCAGGGCACCGGCCCTCCAGGACTGGAGTTTGACACCCCTGGTCTAGAGGCATGAATTAGCACTATCAAGCTAATTTATTGATCCCCATGGGGAAATTCTCTTCATACCTCTCCCAACTTCCTCTCTGTAGGTGAGAGCAATCTGGCCACAAAGAGTAGCCACCTGGTGCAGCACCCAGAACGCTGGGGATTAAGGGCCTTGCTCAAGGACCTGCAGATGTGTCAGGGGTGGGCTCGAACTAGCAACTTTCCAATCAGAGGCATAGATCCTTATCCCACTGAACCACAATGCAGTATTTTTTAAGGGATTCTATACACATGTTTCTGTAAAGTTCATTGCATCACTTTGACGTCTTACGTCACATCTTTCAAGTGACTTGGAATTGCATGCATCTGTACATTTCACAGAAGTACAGTGGTACTTCAGAACTCGAACTAAATCCATTCAGAACTCGTGTTCGAATCCTAAAAAGTTCGAGTTCTGATCGAATTTTCCCCATAAGAAATGGAAAACCAATGAATTGGTTCCCAGCCCCAAAAAATTCCCAGCCCCAAAGCAAATTATTACTGGGAATCAGAAAGCAGGATTAAAAGAGACTGGAACTAATATATATCCCCAGAAGGTCCAGTAGACCTCCAGGGACCTCTAAATTGCCCATATTATATTATTGTGTGTGTATCTGCATGTTCCCTTTGATTGGTTGGCCTTCCATCCAAGGTGTAACACAGCCTGGTGCCCTGTGCTTCCCCTGAAAAATGCCCGGTATGCCAGATGGCCAGTCCAGCCCTGTGCTTCTTTGTTGAGGTGTAACAAAAAAACAAAAGAGAAATGAAACAGGCAGCCGCTGAGGACTCCATTACAAGGTCCATATGATCTGCTCTCCAGCACATTAGTTGGTGTCTTTCAGTGACAAACCAGCTGGCAGTTGCACCTCTTTGACTGGGCTGTAGAAATGAGGGCGATGAGAACATCAGTCATGGCGCTGCAGGAAAAAAGTGGAATGATGTTTTTTTTTTTCCCAAGATGCCTTGCAGTGGTATCATTACAAACCTGGTGTGGTCTTAGGTTTCCTATAATAAGTACCAGTTAGTGCTAACCTGATGTAATGTTTCTTTAATCCATATTAAGTACTTGGCGTCCAGGCTAATGAGCTCTCATTCTTGCAGGCTCCTGTTCTGTGTTTGCAGTTCCTCCTTCTGCTTTTGTTCTAGGTACTGCTGGTTTCGATCCACAGTTCATAGACTTGTAACAACCTGGCAGCTGTAACCCACTCTGTTGTGGAAGGCCTCCCGCCCTGCCTGCTGTGCCCCATCCCTCAGGAGCTGTTCCTGATGTTCCACGTTCCCATCACCCTGACAATAGCAAGAATGTGATGTGGAACAGCTCTGCAAGTAATTATGCACACTGTGGTATTTTGTGCTCTTTATCTTGTGACAGCCTGAAGAAACGTACTTTAGAATTGAGTTCAAGAATGAAACCTAAAGGTTTAGCACCCCCAAAAATACCATGTGCACACATTATGTTAAGCTCGAATATAAGTTTTCATGAATGTGTCGGTGTCAAACACTGTCAGAAAAAAAGAATATTTATTACTGGGGGTGTACCCTCAAGGGTCTGTCAATTGTACCCTTAGCTGCAGGTACTTGTTCCCTTTATGACATAGAAATGGACTCTGAGGAACATTTTTGTACCATTGGAGGTACCTTAATGTTGTTTATACCTTGGGGATGTTCCTCAGAGACCATTTCTGTACCTTAAAAGGTACAATTACTTTCTGCTGGTGTACAATTGGCAGACCCTTGAGGATACAACGGTGGCAAGCAAAGGTACAAACTGGTACTTTTTTCTCACAGTGTAAGGTGTCCTTGTCATTCAGTGTATGTGCTGTAATGAAACTGCATTTAGATTTTATCCATCCATCAATCTTATATGTGGTTATTGGGGTTAGGTTTGCGGGCAGTGGGGGCTGGTGAGGATATTCACTTATGTGAATGGAAAAGGTGCTTTAATGCAATAAAGCAGCAATAAAAACTGGCCCTGTAATACAGCCATTATGCCCACACACACACACACACACACACACACACACACCCTAAACACACACAACCACTGCACCCAACTGATCAGAGCTGCTCATATGGGGGGAGAAAGAGGAAGACTTCGAGGGCCAGAGGGCGTGAGCCAGAGTCTGTGTCATGGGGGGGGGGGGCATTTCCAGGCCATGCCCCCCCCAAATGAGCCATGGTGCACCCCCCCCCCAAACGCCACTCACCAAGGAAATCGTATTTAATTTCATTTTAAATTTACTTTTCAATAAAGGCGTTCATCCTAAAACAAATAACTCTAGTCTCTGCCAGGGGCAGGGCTAAGGGTCATCTGCTTACCCAATGTGTCTCCCCCCTCCTTGATTGACAGCTTTTACCATTCCCCCCTGCATGATTTGTTCTGCTGCCCGCACTGCTTTGACCGTGGATAATGGTAGCTTTGGACTGGAGAAGGGGGACATTGCTAGATTTTTTCAGGGGTCCAGATTTCTCTTTGTGCTGTCCTGGAGTTGCCAGTCACAGACAGAAAATACTCACACACACAAGAAAGTACCTACACCAAGCCTGGTTTAGAGCCATGTACCTCCTTATCCAGAGCCAAACAAGATCTTGGGAGACCAGAAGATGTACTACAAAACCAGCTCATTGGCTTAGGGAAATGTCTTCTTGCTTTCTTCTGTGTTTTGACTACTACAGATTGTAGCTCATTTTTAAATAGGATAAATTTAATATCACCAAGGTAAATTTACACTGTACACCTAACCTGCTCTGAATAGCAAGTGAAGTCCTTTGGAGTAAAACTGGCATAACCTTTCACCCAAAACATATATACAGACCACCCTTTCACCCAAAACATATATACAGACCACCCTTTCACCCAAAACATATATACAGACCACCCTTTCACCAAAAAAACAGAACTGCCCTTTGACAAAATAAAAGGGATATCACTGATTTTCTTTTTGATCCAATACCAAGTAATACCAAGGTTTTTATCCTGGTACCAATAATCGGCTAATATAAATTTGGATTAAATTTGCTGGGGAGATGGGGGTGTTGACAATAAAGTTTGCAGAGCAGGACTGGGGGGGTGTATTACCCACCGATCAAAGTCCTATCAAAGTGTGGCTTTCAGATGGCATTGTTAGTTTGCAATGCCGACACCGCCCCTTTTATGTAAACACGAACAGACTGATTAAGAAACCCCAAGTCAATTTACCAAGCTGATAACTGCTATCATATTATCGTCTAACACTGATAGCGGCAGTCAAAGTTAGCCACATCTCTTTCACTATCCTTTGAGGCTCAGAATCAAATTCTTGTTTATATACAACACCTGCTGGCACTGTGGGTTAGGTTCAAGGTTCTTAAAGGGGATGTTGAGGGCTGAAATTGGTCGATGAAAGTTCGCTATCAAACCTTGTTAAATATGGCTTGATGGGTCCCCTTATCTGCATGCACCTCTGAAAGGGAAGCTGTGAGGGCTTCTTCCCTCAGGTGGTACTGTCGCTCAGCGGGTAAGGATGTTCGGTGCCCTCCCCCTGGGCTGCAGGTGTGACTCATGCCAGAAGGATATGGTACACCTAGAATGAACACTGCTGCACGTGAAGATCCACTCGTCTGTGTCCTGTATGAGCTGGAACGCACAGAATTCTCATTTAAGTGCATTCATCCTTCCTAAAATACAGGAAGTTGTTTTATTTACCGCAAGGATAATCACAGTTAGGTGCAGTGCTTCTCTACTCTACCAAGTACCTCACTTGCCCCATAACGCATACTGGTACCCTGTAAGTATTCCTTCCTAAATTATTTCTACTTTTTCATTTGTAACACTTACCCTACATTGCTATTGTATATTGTATACGGTGTTAATTATCTATTAAACTTAACAACTCAGTACACTTTATTGCAAGTACATGCAGACATGCAGTACAGGACAGAATTGCAAGATAGTTAGGAGAAACAGTATCACCTTATCATATATGCAGAACTAAAGAATGGTATAGAAGTTACAAATTTGCAGAAAAACACAGCACAAAGTAATCTTATGACAATCAATTAGCATAAGCGTATGATATGCAAAATGACCGCAAAGTGCAAAGGGAGTCGACATAAAACACACATTTAACACACAAAGTCAGCACAAAGGGGAGCCTTGAATCCTTGGCTATCACCTCAAGAGTTATCATCGGTTCATCTGTTCATCCATCCATCCATCCATTTTCATACTGCTTTTCCAGTGCAGGGTTCTGATGAACCTGCAGACAAAACATTCATTCCTCATTTCTGAACACACCCAAAGCTTTTCAAAACCAACAACTTTTGCATACAACTGTTAAACAAAATGTTTAAAATGTGTGAAATATGTAAAAAAAATATGCGACATTTAAACTGTTACATTGCAGTGAGTGATGCTTTAAGAGATGTACTGACATCCTTTATCTCAACACACCTGGAAAAAACAACCCTATCTATAACTGATGCACAACTGATTTCCACATAATAATATTTAAGAACTGCCATTATAGGATATTTTATTTTATTCTGGTTTTATTTATACTGAACACCCATCCAATATTAGAAAATCCCTCATCATTGAGGGACGCCACCAGCTGCAACACCAAGTGAAGTGACTGAAAACGGACTGTGGCGGATCTGAAAAGAACTACAGTATCCACCACGTCTGGCCACAGCCCAGGACAGCTCTCATGGACTGTCCACAGGATGGCTAAGCTGGAATAAAGTATGGACAAATTGTTTTTTTCCATGTGGTCTTCGAGGTATTTCTCATGCCATATACCAGCATTTCCCAGTCCAGTCCTCAGGGATCCACAGCCAGTCCATGTTTTTGCTCTCTCTGAGCTCCCATATAGACAGGGAGCTGGGAAGGAGCAAAAACATGGACTGTCCGTGGGTCCCTGAGGAGTGGATTGGGAAACGCTGCCATATACAATTAAAGGAAGATGGTAATGGGATATTGTGCTGCAATGAGGTCAGGCTATTGTGCAACACCATATGCACATTTTTTTGTAGAAGGCAAACATGTTTAGGGGAAGTTTAGGGAGCATTAGATTAAATTTCTTCTGTTTATTTCTCTCTACCCTAAAATTTACAAACCTCATATTTGCAAAGTACTTTAAAGCAAATTCAATCATGCACTGCATAGCGGCGCTTTAGTCAACAACGGTAGTCTCATAAGATTATAAAGGAGCTGAAAAATTCCTGTTGCCAAGTGACATCGTAGCACCAGCGCATTGCTCACATGTTTGTGGTGATGCTGGTGTAAACAAACGTACTGTGTTGGCAGTCATAGGAAAGTAAAGCATTTTTGAAAATGATAATAAACAACTATGTTGCTGGTCTATGTATTTGCTAAACTGTACCTTTTATTATTATTTTAGAGTGTACTCTTTATATATATAAAAAAAAACGATTGCTGTAGCCCAGGTGTGTAGAATATATCATCTAGGTTTGTGTAAGTACACTCTATGACTAAACAAGGCATTTCTCAGAATGTAAGCACTTTTTTTTTTATTTTTAATTTAAACCTTTATTTTACCAAGCAAAGCATTAAGAACAAATTCTTATTTACAATGCCAGCCTGGCAAATGCCCGAGGGCACTTGATAGACAACGTAAAACAAAGACAATGAACAAAATTATATACAATACCAAATGTTACATAGACAAAAACATTTAGCAGTTTAAGAAACAATTGCATTTATCCTTAAATATGTCTTTTTAAGCAATGCGTGACTCTACAGTGGGATCTGTGCCTCATAACAAATTAACTGTATCAGGCGAGCCAGTGACGGTTTGTTCATGGTGACTGGGGACTGAGGTAACAGCAATTCCAGTCCAAGATCTTGCGTACCTGGCCTCCTATGCTTTAAGGCAACTGTGCAATCACACAGTCACAGTGCCATTACTTTGTGCGGCAGTAAGACACACGTACATACTCTGACATTGTGGAGCCCAATTAATCCCAAGTAGTCAAATGTAGAAAAACGCACATCCATTAATTCTGAAATGCCGCCACACTGTAAAATTAATGAGCATTTGCGTGATCACCGCCTCACCCTTCAGAAGTCCCACACAGAAAGTAAAACACTTGCCAATGTAGACTGTCACTATAAGATAAATCGTCCCTGTCTAAGAGTGGCCTCCAAAAGCAATAAAAACAATACCTCTACCTGTGCCCACATCAGGCACCATCTGCAAGGCAGAGCTTGAGCGAGGGAATTGAGCAAACGTGGTCATGTGACACGGCCCCACTTCCTCTGTTATAAGTAAAGTTTATTTATATAGCACTTTTCACAGACACACAGTCGCAAAGTGCCTTACAAGTTAAGACCAATACATATATAAAATAAACAGAGGTGGACATTTCAGGTCCAGAAAGTAAAAATCCAGACCAGGATTTTGTTTCAACCAACCACTTGAGTACTATATGACTGTGATTCTTTATGCTCAGCTGGATTTTTACTCTCTGGATCTGAAATGCCCACCTCTGAAAATAAAGCTAAAACCAATAAAGATGATAAAACACAGAGACAAAAGTATACAAAAACACAAACAATAGCTTAACATGCTAGTCAAAGGCCTGTATAAGCAAATGAGTTTTAGCAGACATTTAAAACCGTTAAAAGAGTCCGCAGATCTCAGTGCCAGTGGAAGAACATTCCGGGATCTGGGTGCAGTAGCCTCAAAGGCATGGTCACCCCCACTCTTTAAGTAAGGACATGGGACAATTAAACGTCACTGACCAGAGGACCAAAGGGACTGGCTAGCAGTGGGTGAAGAAGGTCAAAAATGACACCCAGACTCCATAAGTTTGACGGGATGATAAAATTCCTATCAGGAGAATCACATAGTACAGTACTTCATCCTCATTTAATCATAAAATCGCCATAAAAATCCTTATTTGATGCCGCTCAGATATTCGGTCATGCTAAGTAATTTACTGGTGTGGTTAGGTCTGCTTTTCATTGGTACATACAGATTAGGACTTTAAAAACCTTTCTGCTGCTACACATTTGTCCCATGCTCATTATTGTTACCTCTGTATTCTCATAACTGTTCCTTGCGGTTGGAACCGAACCGCAAACTTTTTGGATACATACTTGCCCTGCTTATGCGCTGAGTCAATCAAACGAGGCGTGATGGTTTAAAGTCTTCCCTTTCTGGGACACACACTGGTAAGGTAACTTTCTGAGCTGCACGCCGCCTATTCACCTACGACATGGGAAAGTCGGAAACCATAGAACAGGTCCACATTTGTAATATATCGGCAAGTTTTCGGCAGTGCTGCGACAATGAAAGGCATTACGGTTCAGCCGACCAGAGTCCCACGTCGCCTGCTCTGTTCACCCTCCAGTTAATAACATACCAGGACAATGATCACCTGCACATTTTAAATGAAAAGTGTTTCCATCCAGTAAGCACACATTGCGTCAAACGTACAGCCTCGATCACGGTGGTCTCATCAGTAATTTATTAGTCACGAGCAGCCCTTGTAACTCATGCTGCGTGGCCATATTGAGTTACCTACTTCCAATGATAATGTTATTCAGGATCCTCTGTGTGGACAAGAAACACAAATTAATGTGCATTCCTGAAGATTATTGGTTCCCTGCAGCTTTTCTCTTGGTGACAATTGTTATTCGCAAATCTGCGGTTGCCATTAAGTACAATAATTTTTGTAATCCATCTTTAAATGCTTATTCAAGTGTAACTAATTAGTTTATAGTGGAGCTGCTAAGCAACTGATTTAATTAACTCATCAAGCGTTTCATCTCCATCCCCTTACAGACCTGCTGAGCTTCATCTGTCCATCTCACTTCCTCCTGCTGTTCGTTAAGGAAATACTTTAATCCTCACACAGTTTCACCATTTTCATTTTTTTTTTCTCTACGAAAACAAGTGATGGAAACAAAGAAATGTCTGAGGGACACAACAGCAGTCCCCACACTCCCCACACTCCCCCCCCTCCCCACCACCACCAGTAGCTTCTAACCCTTTGATTGCAAGTCCAGTTTCCAAAAATATGCTGTGGTGAATCTTTACTGAGAATCAACTGAGTTTTAATAAACACAGGACACAAAATTAGACCATGAGCAGAGTCGGTTAGATTTTACGAGGGTGGGATGCTCTTTTTTCACATGCCAGCAGTTCTCTAAATAAGTGAATTTACAATTTTTATAACTCACCAAATGTAAACAAGTTTGACTGTCTGTGTACGGAGCAGATTTTTTTTATGCCCTGACAGAAGGCTGCTGGGAAGCAGGGACAATTAATTGTTACACTGTAAAGAAACTCTCGACCCTTGACCCCCCTGAGAAGCAGCTGGAGAATTTAGGAACTGTCCCGCTCCGTGTAGAGAGTGTCAAAGGTGGGAATGGAAACCAGGAAACACAGTCAGAAACTGAGGTTTGAATTGAGCGTAAAATTTGTAGTCATATTTCCTGGGGCGCAATAGGTTTTTTTTTTTTCTTCGAGAAAAAAAATTATAAATTCCTATTTTTTCAGCTGAATCAACTTGACTTTGCAGGGAGAGGCGGACAGTCCTGAACAGACTGTTTCACTGAGGAGCCATAAACTATTTCAAGGTCACATCTACAACATGCCTGCGGTCACAGATGATAATGAGAGTGTAATTACGCTCGCTCCCCAAGGTGGGATGGAGAGGAAAACCCCCATCCTCCTATGCTGCTGGCTCTCTGGTCCTCCATGTCACAGTCTCGGGCTTCCAGCTCCCTGTTCTGTTACGTGAGGTACAACACATCAGTTACTGGTAGATCTTGTCTACTGCATATCAGGAATGATATCTTTGCCTATCTTTGATATCTTTGTCTATTGCATATCAGGAATGATATCGGGGCCTGCTTTATCAGCACTCTCCACCTTCGTTTCAAGTAATAAAATATGACACACTGATAGAAAAATATTATTACACGTTTCAAGGGTGTAGATTTGGGTATGGATGGCAGGGACATGTCTTTACCAATATTATGGGAGTACCATGTATGTTTTGGGGGGGGGCAGGGGGTTCAAAGCTGACTTGGAACCGATGCTGAAATAAAACCTATGGCTTTGTCACATTTTCACTTATTACAAGGAACTAAGCTGGATTTTCTAGAAATGATTTTAATGAACATCCAATCTACTAATATTTAAAACTATACTATAAATTATTGCCTTGCCCCTTGAAAGAAGATGATCAGTTACTGCTCATGTCGAATAATATCTGTAAATGTTCATATCACCAACACATGGGTGTTTGCCATTTCTGGTACTGAGCCAGACTTAAGGGTCTGGTGATCTGACCTGTGGAGACACGCTGGACGTGCGGGACAAGTGGACGAAGTGGATCAGTGGAATCGAAATTGTGTTAGATCCATTCACTCACTACTGTTGGGGTCTTTTATGAGATGCAGTTTGACAATGAACTAACTAAACGGAACTCCGAACTTTCTCAAGTTTCCACGAATGAAGATGAAGGCTGCTATCAGCCTCACACATACGCCCGCATGCCCCTGGAGTACAGTTGTCCAGCCGGGAGGAGACCACGACTCAATCTCAGCCTGCCAGTTTCCTGCCTGGGCCACGGCCTTTATGTACAGACAGGATGTAATGCTTCTACAGCTGATCCACATCTGAGAAAACAATGTGTTATTGAAAATGAGCACACACCTTTCTTTAGCCCGGCATGGCCAAGACTGGACGCGGCTTGACAAATCTGCAGGGCCTGATAAGACTGAGCTCATTATGCTGAAATATGAAAACAAATAGGCAGTGCAGGAAATGCAGTCTTATTTTAGATGGCGTCATGTACCGTGTGAGAATGCGTGTGTGTGTGTGTGTGTCCACAAGTATGAAACACCATGATGAAATTTTTCTGGATTTAAGGAATGTCCACAGAAATGTCCTGTAGATGTGCAGGGGTCTGCACATGTGTACCTGCATGCATGCTCTGGGACACCTCATCTCAAAGACAATTGGCAGAGTGACACATCTGACCTGCACACTGGGGGTCAATGATTTAAAAGCGGATTGCCGCATCCTAACTTCCCCTTCTTGTTCCCCTACCCTGTCGATACAGGCCTCCATCTGGTCCATTCTCCCCTAGGCCACTCTACTTAACCTGCTTGCAGGAGGCCACCTCCCGGGGGGTTTGGGGACAACGGGCAGCACACCCTGGCCTCCTCCCCACAGGCTGTGGGGGAGAAGATGTGCCGTCATTCCCAATTAGGATCGATCCCTCCCGAATGTGAATCGGGCAGCTTTTGGAAAGCTTAGCAGGATGCCAGAACACGGGGGCCAGGTCACGGAAGGCCCCCGCCCGCCTGTTTAAAGTGGTCCGCTGGGATGGAGGAGGGTCATGGAGGAGTCAACCTTCAGCATCTCTGTGGGGCCGCTCGCCAGATCGAGTGACTTTGAGGAAAGCACTTTGGATCGGCAGCTGTAATCTTCTTGTTAGCTGTGCGGCGTCCCATCTCATCACTCAGAAGATGACCCCCCCCCCCTCGCCAGCCCCTTTTGTCTGTGGTCCATTTTTATGTTACAGGACCCCCACTTCATTTAACTTCCCTGTACCCCATTCAAACCTGCTAGAGCATTTTCATGATTGACAGTGGGGTCTATTGCCCCCCCCCCCCCAAAGATGGGTTCTTTTCATTAATAATGAGTGCACTATTACAGGTCCCTACCCTGAATCACGGTGCACTGACTTCCAGACCTTATGTCATGCACTCCAGCCTCTGTCATGGAGGATCCATTATAAAGCTGTGTTTGGGGTTACCCCAGCCAACCTTTTTAATAAGACACTTAAACCTGTGCCCTTCATGAAGGAAGACAAGGGTTCATTTCGAAAATGGGGTTTTTGATGAGGGCCACTGGCAAAATGCTGTGGAGCTTCGGGAATTTAAGTCAGCAAAAACATTAAAACCACTGACAGGTGAAGCGAATAGCATCGGCTGTCTCGTTACAGTGGTACCTCTCAAGGGTGCCATTATATATTCGTTGAAGTGTTGGAAGCGGGGAAAAAAGGGGAAGCGGAAGGGTCTGAGGGACTCTGAAGGGCCAAATTGTGACGGCTAGACAACCGGGTCAGAGCATCTGCAAAACAGCAGGTCCTGTGGGGTTTGGTCTGCAGTGGTCAATACGTACCAAAAGTCATCCAAGGACGGCCAACCAGTAAACCAATAACGGGATCATGGGCGCCCAAGGCTGACTGATGCGCGTGTGGAGTGAAGGCTAGCCCATCTAGTCTGATCCCACAGAATCATATCCTACTGTAACACAACTTAATGCTGGTTATGATACAAATGTGCCAAAATTGCATCTCAGCCTGCTGCGTATGGGGCTGTGTAGCAGCAGACTATGCTGACCTCTGACCTTCTCCGAAAGTGCCTACAATTGGCATATGAGTATCAGAACTGGACCATGGAGCAATAGAAGAAGTTGGCCTGGTCTGATGAGTCACGCTTTCTTTCTACTATGTCTTGTGGATGCCTGGATGGACGTGTGTTGTTTACTTGGGAGACAGATGGCATGAGGATGCACTATGGGGAAAAAGGCATGTGAGCGGAGGCAGTTTAATGCTCTGGGCAATGTTATGCTGGGAAACCTGTTTCTGGCATTCATGTGGATGTCACTTTGACATGCACTAATTACCTAGACATTGGTGCAGACCAAGTACACCCCTTCATGGCAACAGTATTCCCCAATGACAGTGGCAGACAACTCCAGTAATCTAATTAAACATCTACAAATTAAACATAAGAAAGAATATGACAAAACTGCCATCATGCATCACCGAAGCGTGTTGTGCAGTGAAAATAACAGAATGTCTTATCCACTATCAATCAGGCACAATGTTGTAATAGTGGTACGTGGAGGACACAATACTTTCTGAGGTGGTACATGGCATGAAAGTTGTGAACCACTGCTTTAGAGGTTTAGTGGATTGTCTGTATATCGTTCTATTCAGGCTTTCACTTTTTTCAGCCAAAAAACAATTAAGTGCCCACTTGGTGCTGTGTTTGGGGGAGGGGGTTTCGTTATTACTGCGTATCTCAATACTTTTAAGTTAAAATATTGCATACTTGTTTTTAGACGCCGCACAGCCATAACTGATATCAGTATCGGCGAGTACCAGAAAGCAAGCATCAGTACTTGTACTTGTACTGTCCTACCTGCAGGTCCTGCTCGCCTACAGCTAACTGTTCAGGCTCCATGGGGTTCCTGAGGTTTACAATAAGGGGGAGAGCTCAGCAGGCCAGGCTCTTTTGCTGGTCCACTGGTACATTAAGAAAAATATCATGATGGCTGTAAAAGAAAAAATAGTAAAATAGTAACTGCGTTATACATACCCTCATAATGCATTATAATGCATTCATAAAGTATCATAAACATGGTTATATATATTTATAAAAAAGGCATAACTCAGTACAGCCATGTTCATTATGCATTATAAATGCTCTCATCTATAATCCACTACAAATATCTTCATAGTGGCTTATACTGACCCTTATAATGCATTATGAAGGTATTTATAGTTTATTACAGCGGAGAGCATTCATAATGTATAGTAAACATGGCTATAATATGTTATGTCTTTTTATAAATATTTATAGCTGTGTTTATAATACTTTATGAGTGCATTATAATGCAATTATGAAGACATCTATAATGCAATTATATGCCTGCTTTAAGTAAGGTGTTAACGAAAAAAAACACACTTTTAATTTCTTGGATTATTTCAATGACAAAAAAATCTGTTGGCAAAATTTTGCTCCGGCTGTGTCCCTTTTCACAAGGGCCATGAGCCCCAGTAGACCGGCTGCAGCGGGTGGAAGGTGAGACGGGGAAAAATGGGCCGACAATGGAGTCCCTGTGCAGGGGGTGAGGTGGCGGGCGTGCCGGGTAGCAGTCGCGTCACGGCAACAATGTGGCGTCGCCGACATTCCCAGGTCAGGGATCGCAAGCGGGAGCCGGCAAGGTACAGGCTACCAGTCTAAAGAACACGAAGAGCTGCTCACTGTCACTTCAAACGAGCCCCTGTTACCCTCTTTTTCCCAGGTGGATCCTACATAAAGGGAACCTGATCGCTGGGGACCTCGGTCTTTTGTCGCTAGTTTTCAAAGAGGCCGTCCTGCCAGTTCAGGGCCTTTGTAATGGAAACCTCCACTGTCATTTTGCCCCTTTTATTTTTAGGCAGGGCTATTATTGTTCTTATACCCTCGGCTTTGCTCGTTGGACAAGGTCACTTTTTTGTGAAGTCCTCCCCTCATTTTTTCCCCCCTTCAACAAGTGTATATTATTAGGCTTGTGTTCCCAAGTGAGTGGAATCAGTCAGTATGAGGACCCTGACTCACAATGATCAGAAATCAAATTTTATTTTCTTATGTAAGAAATGACTGGCCTCGAAGGGACAGGATTGTTTGGATAAAGATTTTGAATTTTCTGATCTTCTACAGTACATGGGGGGGAAAAAAAACACTTCTAGACCGCAGTGTTCCATCTGGCTGCATGAAAGTGGTATGAATGTAAAGCTACTATGCCGTAAAGGGCAATTTAGAGGCAAGGGAGGAGCGCTCCTGGTCCATCTAAGGAGGGAATCAGAGGGTCTGACAGGCTGACTAGGCCTTGATCTCCTGCAATTTACTACAAGACAGCTGGCCCCTGCTGAAGTGGGGGTCTATTTTAATGGTGCTGAAACCCAAACCCCACTGTTTTTACATGTGGGCCTAGCAGTCAGTGTTATTTGGGGCTCAAACTGTGCAGGTTTCACTCCTTTGTTGCTGGATTTCCTTCATCTTCCTTAGCGATGTAGGGGGTAGCGGTTTCCAGGTAGTCTATTACTCACTTGTGATGGTCCAACCAGCTTCCGCCCCGCTCCTCTGTTATTATTGACAGGGCTAGATGAATAATGTATCAGACACTCTTGGGGACAAGTCATTCGATCTGGGAAACTTGACCAAGCCTGTAAGAGGCGTGACTAGAGGATAAATGAGAAGGTGTACAAGGGACCTGCGAGAAGAATAGCCATTCAGCAGGAGCCAAAAATAAGTGTGTGCATGTGTATGGACAAACAACCAACCAGCCATGCAGTTAAGGCAAAGAAGCGAGGAACATTCCCTCACCACGGACTCACAGTGTAGTATGTGGGGCCTAAGCTTAGCTATAATACCCATAAAATTAGGGTGCTGTAGTGGAGTAATTTATGACAGGTGGCACTCACAACCTTTATAAATACCACACTAAATGCATAGAGACGATGGCAGTGAGTGGAGGGTAGAGCACATAAACACCGCGCGTATTTCTTTTCCGCTTTAGAAATATAGGTAGATACTTACATGCTTTACTCTCTCTGTCAGGCTGTCGCAACACGTTTCCTTGCCATTATATTTATTAATTATATATAATTAATATTTAAAATATGACCAGTGTTGTACATCACGAGGATTAAACTCTTACATCATAATTTAAAAGACTAGCGATATATATTTTTGCCGCGAAGGATGCGTCCTTCTGGCTCAGGCGCGTGATCACGCAGCGCAGAGCGCGCGCCTCGCCGAACCCGACGGCAAAGCTAAAAGAGCTCGACTTTCCGCAAATAGAAAAATTAAGTATTCTCTGTTAAAAAATTAACGATATATTTGATGCAGTAACCAGTATTATACGTATAACCTAAAACGCGAAAGAAATGTCCGAATAACCTCTACATATGGGACGTTATTTCCGATGCATTCGTCATTCTCCTGTTTCACAAGGTAAAAACTGGCCCAAGACGCTTCAAATTCACGTCATTATTTCTCTATCCAGAAATATAACATTTTAATGTTTCGTACTCATTTGCCAGCCTATGCCTTGTCATTATTTCTTAAAAAAATAAGTTCAAGACTTCAACTGCTTTACCAAAAATATTGGTCAGTTTCACTCTCAGAAGCCTACATAAAGTCTGGGTCCTGGGTTATTCTGTGCCATATGCCAATTTTGACCCCATATAGGACAAGCGTTATGGAACATTAATGAATTTGGTATTAAAATGACTAAATTTAACTTAGTCAATTCTCAGTTTTCATCAGCCAGTACCTACAGTCAGTTATCTTGGTGGCAGTTGCCTGAGGTACAGCTGGGTGACGCACTGCTTCGATCCTCACATCTCCTCACTTTGCGTTTTTACACTGTTATTCTGAATAGATGCTGAGGTTAATTGGAGTTACCGAATTACCCAAAGGCGCGCATGTGTGAGCGAATGGTGTTTGAGTGTGCCTTGTGGTGGGTTGGTGCCCCATCCTGGGTTGTTCCCTTGTGGCGTCCGAGATAGGCTCCAGATTCCCTGTGACCCTGAATAGGACAAGTGGTCTCGGAAAATGGATGGATGGGTGGATTTAGTGCGGTGCATGTAAATAGCACTCTGATAAAATTGGTCTCCACGTGGGGAGAGAGAGATGCTCACGCTCGACTACCAGGGGAGCCGGGGACCTTCACATGCTCAGGTACCACTCAGGATGATGAGAAACAAGCCTGCACCTTTGTAAAGGAGTACATGTCTAGACCCTAGTCCCTATTTCTGCTCTAAGGTGTAGTTAATGAGAACTAAATGTAAACAAGTGGATATTGTAGTGCAACTACTTTTGAAAGGAATCTTTACAAGTAGTTTTGGATGTTTGTCATTCAGGGTGCTTTTCCTATTCATGCATGGTGCTTGATTAGGGTGACCACCTAATCCATGTCAGGAGGGACACTGCGAGCTACTTCAGGTTTTACAAACTACTACAAAAAAGGAAAGGCTCCCGTGCTCGGCTCAATTATTTGGTTCGTCTCGTACTTTTACTTGCTTGTTACCTTGATTGAAAGACTCATCTAGCTGTTTCACATTAACGTTAGTGATACATGCATGATTATAGGAGAGCAAGAACTGAGTGCTTAAGCAAAATCTGGGTCTTTTTAATTGAAATTGTTGAAATGGTCGTTTACAAACCATCCTACCTCATAGTGTCTCTCCTGACATGGATTAGGTGGTCACCCTATGTTTCTAGTATTCCTATCTATTGTCATGCTACATATACAGCTTAGATCTGTATACACATCAAACTCACCTAGTCCCCTTAAAGTATTGTCATGTCTGTTGCACTGGAATTCTAATGAATTACTAATAAGCAACCTGCAAGATTTGCTGTAGCATGGTTAAGTTTGGTGCTTGTGATACAGTGGATCATGGGTATCCACAGATGCATTTATGACAGGCAAAAGACTCCATGCTAATGACAGAACCCTCCTCATTCACCTTCATCTAGAATATAGGACTCTGCACTCTGGACCAGCAGCTCCACCATTCAGGCGATAAAACCCTGTGAGCTTACAGTCGGAACCTCTGCTATACCTCATCACCTCCTGCTGTTGGAGTGTTTTGCCAGGCTGTCTTGATGTTATTGTCCCTGATTAAGCCCCTGAGCTTTTCTGGGATTCCCCCCGCCCCCGAAGGCTGTGAATTACTAACAGAACATAGTAAATATGGCCTGATCTGGGAACTCCCCTACGCTTCCATGATGCTAGCTGTTGGGGACCCTTCGCTGCCTTCCAACAGACCCCTTTCCGTGCCACAGTCTCCAGAAGCGCCCTGTTATTCTGCCCAGCCCAAAGAATGCGCCCATTGTGCTGGAGGTACAATGCGGCCTTCCTCCTGGGCCCCCTCTTTACTGTGGTTCGTGCCATATTTATACAGCAGTGGCTTTATCTTCATCGTGCCGTACACAGGCAGCTGTCAGCAGCCGCTGGGTCTGTCCTGTCGATAGTGCTAATAAAAGACTCCTTTCTCAACGCACCCGGGTCGAAGGCGGAGTGGCAGGCCAGTGGGGAAGTACTAACAATGTGGGCTAAATCACTCTACGTCACACTAATCGTTATGAGCAGATCTATAAATGATACTTGGTTTTAAGATCAACATTGCTGGTTCCACCCGAGAAAAACTTTATCGTGTATAGAACAAAGGAAAACGGCAGACTTTATAGAGCCTAATTACATTCTGTATTTCTATGGGCATAGATATGCAATGGGAAGGCAATTTGCTGGATCAGCCCGGTAATTAAATCTGTGTGGTACTATCTGTAAGAATTCAGTGCAGTGATGACTGCTGCGTGTCATTCACGTGTAAAGCAGAATTCACATGCTGCTTGTCTGCGCCTGTCACGCATTCCTATCACCACGGAATTTCTGCACATGGCCATTGCCATTCTTAATAACTATGCTTTATTTATACAGCTAAATCTATAATGGATTTGGGGATTTACAGATATCCTACTAAAATTTAAAAAACGTATTTAAAAAACCCAGGGGAGTTCTGATTAGTCTCTGGCTTTACCTGTATTTTCAGTAATGGTATAATTAAGAAAGCAAATCACCAATATAGAGTTGGTTATTAAAAAGGCTTTTTACGCATTTTCCAAGAAAATATGGTTTGGTGGCTGTGGTAGGTTGGAAGGTGAGGAAGGTTGGAAGTGCGTGTGGTCAATGGGAAGCCCACTGATTACTGGGGGTTGCTCATTTAAAACCAATATGGATAGTGATTTCAGGAAGAATTTACAGTGTGTGTGTGTGTGTGTGTGTGGGAGGGGGGGTTCCACTGTAAAGCTAACATCAGTGATAGCTATCTGAGCACCAGAGAAATTATTGTTTATAAAACTATCAGAAAACATTTTTGTAAACTGAAAGATACGAAAATAATATTAAAAACTACAAATAAACGAAATATTGTGTACTAGTACACAATACTAATACAAAATATTATACACTAAAATGAAATAAAATAAAGTAAATGTGAAATACTTTGCATTACTATTTTTAATTACCAATAATACCTGGAACAGACATCATAGATAGTGATGTCATAGTGTACACTGTGCATTCACATAGAATGTACTAATTAGACATAAAATAGCTGTACAATTTTCAGTCTGTCCCTGGAAATGAAATGACTGAAACCTGAACTGAAATTAAAATATATAAAAAGTAAGTAGAAATATATCTTTAACACTAAAATTGAAAATAAAAATCCCATCCCTGTTCCCTGCACTGCCTGATGTTAACTCCAGACTTCCCAGTGACCCTGACCCTGTAAAGCAGGTAAAGGATAGATGGGTGGATGGATAAAAACAACATCATGCACAGAGTGCAGGGCATGTATCGCAGAGCAAATGTTTTCTTAGAAACCACAAACAGGGTAAGATCAAGCTTGCGGACAGTGATTCCTGTTTTAAAATCTAATGGAAGTGTGACCAATTCGGTGGTTATTCAGGGATGCTTAGCCTGATAATGCCTTTTTTTTTGCTATGGTTTAGAAGGACTCTACCAGAAGATATGCCAGTTTGGAGAGTGAGCACAGGTGTGTTCCAAACCCTTAATTTGCTGCTTAGGCCCCCAGGATTTTATATCTGTAGGCGTGTGCATGTCTGTATATGTGTGTGCAAGAACTTGCATTTACATGTGTACATGCGGGGTTGCGAAAGGTTGCCTTCAGATAACTGGGAGTCTGTGGGTGGTGAAGTGGTGAGTGGCCCTCTTCCATTCTCACTAAAAAACTAAATTCCTCTCAAAGATCAAATAGTAGATGAAATATGGAAGCTAAATGTTTTGCTGCATTTGGAGAGCAGTAGCTCTGTCTAATGATATGGGTTTGACTTCTTACAGGAATTTACCCATAAGAATACACGGACCAAAGCTACCAGGGCAGAAATGGCTGCTGAATCATCCTCTTCAGCTGAAGGCATGTATGCTCCATTCCTCCCCATATAGACTGGGAGTAACATTGTGATGAGCAGATTTTTGATGGGGGAATAGTGATTTTTGTTTTTTTACAACCTGCATAGATACAGTTTAATAGCAAAATGCTACATTTCACTTTACTTTGGTACCAACTGAGGCTCATTTTTAGTTGCTAATGCCAATGTCAAGAGAAAGTATTCAAGCCTCCTGCCAGAACAAATCAACAACATTAAGGACTCACTGCCAGTGAAGGTGTTCCCTGTGGTCACATCCCTGTGAAACTACTGCTTTAACACCATTCTTATGATGTGTTGCTCAGCATAGTTCTGCAACACTGCCAAATTACATCTTATTTATATCTTGCAAGTATACCAGTGCAGTAAAAAGTCAAGATGCAATAATTCTGAGGTTGTGGAAGAGGAAGGGGTAAAATTGCTACTTATTTTTATTCTGCATTCGTATAGAGTATAATATAAGTTTTCATGCCCCTGGGCTGTGAGGTTAAACCAGATTAAGCATCCAGTTGTTCTAGAAAGTAAAAGGATCTGCTGAGCCAATAAATGCCAGATAAACAGTATCATTCTCACATTCCTATAAGGAATACAGGGTTGGGTTAGACCACTGAGTGTTTTCACGTGCAAGAAAAAAAAACAACAACTTTAACGGTTGTGTTCTTTCAAGCCCAAATAAACATTGTGATTGGTTAAAAAAACATTGTGATTGGTTAAAGTGAACCAAATGGAAATCCAATTAATCTATTTATGTATTTTTTCCCTGCAGTACATTAATCTTTTTTGATATCTAGTGAACCTTGTAGTAAACTAAATAGCTTTTTGTTCGTACCGTGACCTTTTCTTTTACGAGAATTTTTTTCTTATCAGCTTTTTGTAGTGACGAGCTGTTCTTGCCTATTTTTTTTTTTTGCGAAGTGTTGGTCAGGGCATTTGATAAAGTACCTAGAGTTGTAACCAGAAAGACAAAGATCTCCACATCATGTCCCAGGAGGGACTTGGCTTTGTACTTTGGAGAAAGGTGCCCAACCCAAAATGAGTTAAGACTAACGCGAAATGAACAAGCAGTGAAATGCATGGCTAAGATTCAGTTTGTGTTACAGTCCATATTTCCAGCGTAGTAATGAATAAAGTAAAATGCAGGTGGAATTAGCTCGTGAACAGGCGTGTTGCCTGTTCACACTAGCTGACGTAAAAGCCCTTTAAAAACACAGTGCCTTTCATTATTTCAACAAGTAAAAGCATAGCAACAATCCTTTATGAAAGGGCGCGTCTTGTAAGTAGCTCTCTTTTTAAGAAACAAGCCATTCACATAGAGTAGTTTCACAAGCATGTTCCTTCCCAGAATCCCCTAGAGTGAAAACAACTTTATTGTCACAACAGAGAAAGAGGCTAAAGAAGAAAGTTAATTGCCTGGTTCTTTCAATAGTGGGGGCTGCTTTCTTTAGACTGTGTAAGTCAATCGTCAATTGATGTGTATTTGAGCTCGGCCGCATTAAATCAGTCTGCGCTGACGATAACATTCGGCTCTGCGTTCACTGTAAGTTCGGGACGTCGATAACGGGAGGGAGGAAAAGACGAATGAAGGATACTTGAAACATCCTGCTGACCAGCATAGAACTACTAACTTTAAAGCCGATGCATGAGCGGCATGCACAGTGTTTTACAGTGGGTGACCCATAACCATTGGCATACAGAGCTGCCTCAGGCTGAAAACACAACATGTAGAGTGTGCACGGCAGGATGGCAACACAGTGTGAAGCGGTATATAGTGCCCTCTGTCGTCGGGGACACCAGGTGTACTTCACACTTTCCTGTATGCGTTGCCACTGTCATGGAAAACCACAGAGGCCACTGAGCTTGCAGCGTTGCTGTCCTGGGGATATCTTGAGCAAAGGCCTACGTGATGGTTGTCATCTAGGTCAGGGAAACTTCCGATCCCTTTCTTGATGTCAAGCCCCACTGTAGAACCACCCTGGCTGGCCTCACTGCTCCTTCTCTCAGCACTTCCCTAGCATCCACACCTTCATGAATGAATAATGCATTAGGCCAATAAGGGCTGAGTGCCACCCTGGGGAAGTAGGCACGGCCGGGGCCCTTGGGTGGTTTTTATTGCACACAAGCAGAGCCATTAATGAAACTTGGCTTCATTTGGGTGCATGCCTGCAACAGGCAACATGCACACTTTTTGCAGCAAGAGTGGCTCAAATGCCCCTCCCCCAAGTCACATGATGATGCCGAGGAAGCGGGATTAAAAAGACTCCTGTAGAATCATGCCGTGATCTGCTCTGTAACTCCTCTTTTGCAAGGTTTCGGGTGTCCGGTGACCTAATTTCGCCCTCCTGAGAATCAGAGTGACCCCGATCGACCCCCCATGGTTTAAATGAGTGCTGTAAACCTCCAGCAGGGTGACCTGCAGCAGTAACAGGGGAACCCTGCTGAGGTGAGAAGACAGTGGACAATGGGGTGGACTGTTTTTGAAAAATGGCATATACTTCTATTGTCGCCCGGTGACAATAGATCAGTCAGACACTGCAATTTGACAGCTGCATCATTTGGAACAACAAGGAATGAATACTGATATTTTGCATTACTAATTCGGTAGTATCTATTGGTGTCATGAAGCAATGGTGTCATACTTAGTAATATATTTCACTTGAGTCGGATTAAGGTCATGCTCATTTGAGCAGGATGACATACTGTATTTGGTTTCCTCATTTGATTAGTTAGCACCATTATGAGTGGTTGAGACTGTAAGTGGAGTGGAGTGTTCCTGTAAGTTTGCCTAGTGTTGTTAATGAGCACTACCTAATTTCCTGATTGGAGAATTAAACAAACATGAGGAAAGTTTCACGCGGCATTGTCCGCCTGCCCCGCACAGCTGTTGGAAAGCCCTTCACTTTGATAACAGTGCCTCCTGGTGGAAGGACTGCGTGAAGCGTCCAGCCACCTATAAGGCCAGGGCATGAGGTTGTAATGTATTCTATTGCATGCCGTTAGACCAGTGTTTCCCAACCCCGGTCCTCGGGGACCCACTGACGATACACGTTTTTGCTCCATCCCAGCTCCCTGCCAGACACTCTACAATTTTGCTCCCTCCCAGCTTCCAGTAAAAAGTGGACTGTCTGCAGATCCCCCAGGGCCGGACTGGGAAACACTGCATTAGACAGCTGTGCAGGGTGCTAGATAAAAGTATAAAAAAAATATACACATTTATAACAGAATGAAAGAGTACGATTTCTCTGTTGAGTATTAGGAATGACCTTCTCAACTAAAAAGAAGGCAAAAAATGTCTTTTAACCAATGCAGCATTTAAATGATGTCACCTTGCAGGTTAATTCACCCATAGCTTGAAAGAGAAGCTCCAGGAAGAGCACAGAGTGCCTTTGTGATTATTTCACACAGTGCTTTTTTAGAAATTGTCAGGATCACACTGTATGGGCAGCTTGTGACTCCTATTTTCCCATTAACTCCTTGACCTTCGGGAAACTACCCAGTTGCCCTTGAGAGGAACACAGGACTGAACAAGGAACTGAGCCTCCACATCCACATTCTTCCCTCTGTCATCCGCGCATACATATGAGAAAATCTGCTTCCGTTACCCACAGTGCCAGGCAAACAGGAAATTACCCGTCACTGATATGTGGCTGAGATTGAATTATGACAAAATTGGGTTACATTGTGGCAAAGGTAAAGGAGAACATTAAAGGATTCCTCATGTCTCTTTCGTGCTTCAGACAGAAGATCGTTCTTGTTTGTGATCCACGCAATGACATCACTGGGAGGCCTGTGTTTATCAAATTTGGTCTGTGATCCTTGTTAGATCAAGTAGGAAATTACTAATTAGCATAATAATCAAAGAAGGAGTTCTGACCAAGTCATAATTTGATTGCATACTTTTCGAGGCATATAAATTATATAAATTATATAGTGTACAATTAAACCAGTTACAGGAAAATACATGATCGTTTGTTTCATATATACATAAAACATCCATCCATTGTGCAAATGCTTATCTGGACAGGGCTGCAGATGGGCTATCCCAAACGGCATAGGTCAAAAAGCAGGACTTAATGAACTGCATGTCTTTGAACTGTGGGAGGAGACCAGGAGTGCCCAAAGGTAATCTATGTGTCAGTACCCATTTCTCACACTAGAGGGAGCATGCATTCTTTTTTTTCTTTTTTTGAAGGAGAGCGACTCTAAAGAATCAGAATCATTTATTAATCGGCAGGTACTTTCATATACAAAGAATTTACTTTGGGGTGTCATGCAAAACAATCAAGGACAATCAAGACAATATAATAAATATATAAAACTAAAATAATGTAATGTACTTATAGTGCAGCTAATGTGCTTAGTGCAATGTAGCAGGAGCACTGGTGGAACTATAGGCAGTGCAGCCAGTGCAGGCCACTGCACCAGTACTGAGGCCCACAAAAATGGGGGGTAAGGAGGCCATTGACTTATTAGTTTAAATTACCCAAGAATGTTATCTTGAATTATGAACTGCCAGAAACCAAATATACCCTTTACCAGCTTGGAAACTCTGTCTCTCTCTCAGTGTCCTATTTTATTTTTTATGATAAGGCTATTAATTTTCATATTGTATACCTTAAGGATATTTTACGAAGATATATAGAGTACATCTGTAACATTTAACCGTTAAGGGTCAGAGGCTATGTTGGTCATTTTTTTGTATGTCTGATATTGGCTTGATTTGAAACTTTTAAAAAGGTTTAGCATGCATGGAGCATGACCTGACACAACACAAACTGCCTTCTGGGCACGTGGGGCGACTCACCATCTTGGAGATGAGCACCATCATGGAGATGAGCACCATCATGGAGATGAGCACCATCTTGGAGATGAGCACCATCATGGAGATGAGCACCATCTTGGAGTCGGGGGACGGGAGACTCTCAGGGGGTCCCAGGGTACTGGCAGCAGGTGGGCGTACGGTGATCATCAACCAGAAGCAGCTGCCAAGCCTGGTTAATTTGCCTGGTAAAAATTGTTCTGTGGTTATGGGCTTTGATTGCAGAAAGGGTTTCCGGAGTCTGGGAATAAGCGGGGGCCATTGAAGGCCGTCAGATTTCGGCTTCAGCTGCTTCACAACGTCCGTTCCCAAACCTACTCCTCACAGCGCCCTTTGACCCTGCATAGGTATGAAAGGTCGCCTGTGCGGGCAGCTTTAATCTCTATGGACTAACTTCAGCTTCTCAAGGCACCTCCAGGTGTGATTTTCTCACCTGCTATGTGGGGAAATTTCACAGTTAAGATGAACTGACCGGAGGGGGGGGGGGTATAGCAGCAGCCAAAACCCAACCAGGAGCCAGAAATAGCCCCCTTCTCTTCTTCTCTCGTCTCTCTCTTCTCACTATCCGCCAAGTGTGAGTCTCGGGGATATCACCAAAAATGGGCACCACTCCAGTGATGGTCAGTAAATTGTTAGCAGCGTTTTTGTAGACTTGTGTTAGCGATGTCACTTAAGCCTCAAGACGTTACTCACCAAGGGCGTGGATTTGGA